AATTTTAACCAAAAAATCAACAAGTTGTAATCGTCGTAATACAATTTTAACTATACTCACGTATTTGTGTTCGTACGTCCCATTGTAATTTACATAGATTTTTATTTTTCGAGTTGAACCAATAAAGATTAAAAATAATAACTAATATTTGTGTTTAAATTTGTCGCTTAAAGGTAATTAATATTACTTGATTTTTATTTTTTCGATCGCAAATAATGATTATTTTATAATCTTTATTTTTTTCGCTCAAGGATGATAGGTATTATCGAGTTTTATTTGTTTCACTTTAGAATAATGATCATTCAAAAACTCAAAAGCTATACCAGCGTGATTTCCGCCGCATTCTTTTCAGAGGAAGCGACTCTCTAATAAAAGTAATAACACCCAAAATTTTCAGGGAAAAAGTCAGTAAGTTACGTCTGTATAACCTTTTCAATTTTATAAACAAACATTATTTTTATGTGGAAAAATAAAACTCAATAATAATTATTATCTCTGAGCGAAAAAATAAAATTCATAAAATAATCATTATTTGTGATCGAAAAAATAAAAATCAGGTAATAATCATTTCCATTGAGCGCAAACAACTTAAAGTTTCGATATAGCTTTGAATGATTAAATTATCAAATTTCTCACTTGTTAAGAATTCTGAAAGCTCTATACTTGCATTACATTCCGAATTCTATGTCAATTTGTATCTAATCCAACTCAATGGGTGATAATCCAGTGCAATGTAGTTTTTGCGCGTTTACCAATACAAATCCTCTGTGAATGGCAAATCCCTTAATGTTATCAAATCTCTTCATCCATTTCAGCACAATAACAACAATAAGAACAACCACTTAAGCTTGCAGGACTGCAGCAACAACAAAATAAAATTAATAGAGAAGTAAACAGAAACAACGATCCTTCCAATATTCAGTAGCAGAAAACTGCAATAATATAAAAACAAGTACAACATATAAAACTACAATAATCGCACAACGACAAGTCACCTACAACGACTTTCTGCAAAAAAGACTTCAAACACAACAAGAACAAGCAGACGAGAAAACTACTAGCAACAGTAGAACAACACGAATGCAAAGGAAAAAGGGCAGTCGTAGCTAATAGCGGAGCAAGGGGAGAAGTGGAGAAGTGGAAAACGAAAACAGCTAACTTCGGCGTACAAGTAAGTGAAGCGTAGTACATATTCTTATTTGTTTGCTTTCTATATTTTGGTATTGGCAAAATCCCCCTCAAGCGCGCCGGCAAAGCTCATAAGCGAGCATTGAACACATAACGAATTGCTATAATGATTTCCCATGGGCAAATCGTCTAGAAAGAATTTGTGAAAAGTAGGTTCAGAAAAAGTGAGAGCTTTGGTGATGTGAGACTCAGAAAAGGATTATATGATATCGAATTAATGAAAACCGGCAGTGAACGGTTATAGGTGAACGAAAATATATAAGTATGTACAATAAGAACTTATGCAAAAAAGTGACTAATCCGGGATGACTCCGGGATCAATCTCAAAGGAAATACGACTAATACCACTTGTTTGACAAGTCTGCTTCATTTGGAAGGTCTTTTTGTCGTGAGTGGGGCTGTTGACAAACGGATCGTAAGTATTCGACAAATTTCAAAAGCATGCAATCGGTTTGCAAACTTGTTTGCGGTTAGTGGCTTCGTTTGCATATATGAGCTCAGTTACTACATAGACATTTTTGTAGCGTGGACATCAGCAAATAATAGTAGTGGCATTCACCATATTAAGCAAGTGGTCTGGCAGTCTGGCAAA